AACATCGCGGTACACGCACTCGCACACACCATCCCGTTAACTTTTATAATATAATAATATACACTAATTGAAATGTCTCGACTGTACTGAATTACGCCATCGTTAGAATAATAATTGTAGGTAGGTATAGCTAGAAATACCTACATAAATAATATTAATAATAATCATAACAATGACATCGACGATCGGTGTTTTTTCCCGGTCGTAGAAACACGTATAAGAGTGGGCAAATTCCATGCACTGTCGTTGGAATTGATCTATCGTAGAAAAAAAAATAACGCGAGCAAAGTTGGATAAGTAGATATTTTTTTGTATTTTTTTTTTTATGTACCTACCTATTATTATTATTATTTATACATACTGTCCGAGAGTAAAGTTTACAAACGAAACAGACACGAAAACACACACACAAACACACCTTAATAATATCTAACTCGATATTTTGTACCTACACAAAACTCAAGGTAATATACTAAATACTACATACAGAATTAATATTTTATTATATAATAGGTTTAATACAGTATAGATATAATAATAATAGGTGTGCTAGTTTTCAAAAACTGGCTTGTCGTACACTAAACAATTATTGGACCGCGCCCTTTATTTACCCCTTTATAAATTATAATGTTCAATGTGCATTTATTTTATGCGTTTGAATAAAAAAAAAATTACTACGTCTCCTAATATTGTTCAAATATGAAAGCGTTTATATGCGTCTTGATTAAACAACAGGTGTGATCGGGACTGCATATATAAACTTATAGTTTATAGATGATGGATCTGGTGTTATTTTTTTATAAATTGTATGATGCATATTGTGTATATTATTTAGTACTTAAATTTAATGAACACGTGTCTTATAACGATGTGACATATTGTTCATTGGGTTTAAAAGCAAAATAATAAAGCACCGTCAGGCTTCGTTAAACGTAAAAACGATTAATTATAATTGTTAAACAAATATTAACAAGTTAACTAGTGGATAGGTAATAGGTTTCAAAACAATGGTCGATGAATACAATATAACCACACTAAAATAAAATAGGACATAATTAAAAATTGTATTATGTGGATTCTATTTTATAATGCATTTGAGTTTAAAATTTATAATATTAATAGCACCATTGGTTATAAAAAATATTAAATAGGTGCTATAATATATCATAACAGTATTTATCATCTACAATGATAATAGGTACTATTTAAGTGTCTGATTATATACTCCATAAATAATTAAATAAAGTATGTAGGTAAAATATATTATTATTAAGGTATAGAGATAATAAAGTAAATTTTAAATTAACATTTTCAATTATTATATGGATGCCAGTTTCCATTAGATTATCTGTAATTTTATCTAAACATATAAAATATTTTTATCGTAATTTATATGTTTAAAAATCATCATATTACATTAAAAAAAACACAAAATGACACATATTATATCCTCTTATTGTATAGAGTTTTTATTATATACTGCCTACCTAGTTAATATTTTCAAAATTATTTAACTATTATAACTTATAAGCTGTTCAATATTTTTTTATTTATTACGAGTATAATTATTTCATATGTATCAATTGTTAGTATTGACGGATTGTACATTTGTACTATTGTACATTCGCATGTATCTACATATACAACTGTACAATAGTACAATACTAAAAATTGTTAGTTTTCTTTAAATGAAACACATTATAATTTTATAATATATAGTAAAGTTGTATACCCACTTGTRTAATTTATTTTGTGCATATTATGCCTTTTATATTMTTTTGTTARTGTGCAAAAGCTTAATATTTTAATTTTCCACCAACAAAATTAATGCATAAAATTGTAATTTMATTTGTGTAAAAAAAAATGTGAAATAATAAGAATATTAAATAGCTATGCGATGAAAATATTTTAATGATATAAGAATGAATAATACAAGACGCAATGCTACATTGCTACAACAAACAAAATTATATGACGTGTATTATGGCTTGTGTATATATTTTTTTTTTGCCGGATGATTAAAATTCTTCTATTTATAGTATATAGCCGTGCACGTGGTCGATTTTAATTTAGTGTTTTTAAAACATGTTATACGCTAAGTTTTTTTTTATTCCCTGCTTGTGTGTGTGCATCGTATACATGTATATAATAATAGATGTTGTCTTAGKCCATGTGACGATTTATTATTCAAAGCGACATTCGCATTTTATACCAAGGATAAGACATTTCCATCTATCGATGTTGATTTAGCAGTTATAGGATAAATTTTTTTCATATTATTCTTAAGTGTTATACGAAAATACAAAACTAAATGTTGTGTAACGAATAAGCCTTTAGTAAAATTCTTAAATGACAAATTATGCCGTCAAGGCTAATTCAACAGAAATGTTATAGGGACATAATATTAACCAAATTTATAGGAAACGACGTGCATGCCGTACGTAAACAACAATCCTGCAAGTTCCGCTGTTTGATGTTAAATTAATTATTTTTTTACTGAAGCAGTTGTACCTCACAAATATAATAATTGTTGTTWCGGTGGAGTTAGGTTTATGGCATTTATTAAAGGGCAAGACAACAACGGGAAAATAATAATATATGGTATGATTTTTTATAAGAAAAATATTAGAACTGAATGAGAAGACAAAGCATTCGCGAATAAAACCAAGGGACAGCGTATAATAAATGTATTATCGGGTGATGGAATTTATACCATTAATTTCGAGTATCTGTTAACCAAATGGTTTATTTTTTTTTTTTAGGCAACACCGAGGCTAGTATAGTGTGAAGAAAATAACACTTTTAACGCCAACGCCCTATGGATTTCCTATAAAACGGCCAACAGACTGGAAAATAAATAAATATTTTTTCAACACTACGTAGGGGTTCCCAAAATGACCGATCGTAAATGTATTATACACGCTATCGAACCTTACCAATTACCTGTATGAGTAGAACTGGGCCAGTGCCGTTATCGTTGACGCGGAATATGAACGGTCGGTCTTCAGATGCGATGRATGACATATTATTGTCGGATCTTCTGGAATTATGCAATTCTAATAATGATAAAACACAACACATATCGGTACTCATACATATTATATAATATATTAAAGAAAATATTTCAGCAGTGTAAACTGCAAAAATATAATATTGTTTATTGGTTTGAAGTACATAAATATATTATTATATTGTTATTTATTGTAATTTGTAGGGAAATCATGTTATAATTTATAATAACGAAACCGATACACGAAAAACCGTTTCGGAGTTCGGTCAACGGTGAAATGACCGGGTGTCTGACACTCCGACAGATACACGGCGAAGCGTGACGATGAAAATCTTTGGTGGAAAAATAATAGTTGTAAAAAGTA